AATAATAAAAAGAATAACCGGAATGAACATTGAAGGTCTGTTTCTGCAATACTTCATTCCAATTACTACTGAAGACAAATCCTGAATACAATGCATCACATGCTAAATTTACGCGCATAGGCTGTACTCGTTGATATGTTAGAAACATCAATTAAGTTTTTTTAATTCTAATACTGATGTACTTTGTGCTTTATTATCGATTTCTCGGGGTATCTCATACTAGGAGCACAATTTTTCGACTTTGCGATTTGTTCACTTTTTACATTTCTTTAATTAAAAAATAAAATAAAATTTGAATTAAATTTTACATAACACTATCTTAAAGCTTATTAAATTCTCTTCAAAATGACCTATTATTTTTTTTAATTCTACCAATAAACAATTAGTAATTACACAAAATGAACTCGGTATCTCATAATAGGGGTCTCTCCCTAATTATGTGTGAAATTTATATATGCTACATATGTAGTCCCCCCATAATTGCGCGCTGAAACATTCAGACATAAAACGCATAAATACTACAGTAGTATTATAATATTACCGACAATACTTAATTAATTCCCAATATAAGATGATAATTTAAAATTCGTAAATAAATTGGATCTTAAAACTTTTATTCTTTATATTACGAAAATTATCACAATGTTTATTGGCGTTTCGTCCCGGCTTTCCATTACTGGACTCGTCATAGTAAGGCATTTGTAATGGAAGCCTATACCTTATACGCCTGTGTTAGATGTTAAGTCGAGGTACTATATGAAGAAATTATACGTGTGTCAAGCACTTGCGAGAAATATGAGAATAACTATAGACCTCTGAAGGCGAGTCGACGAAGTGATATTTTTCGTAATATTTATTATTAAGGAATAGCGTCTTTTTTAGGCGTATAAGGTAGACTTCCATTACAATGCCTTACTGATGAGTCCAGTAATGGAAAGCCGGGACGAAACGCCAATAAACATTGTGATAATTTTCGTAATATAAAGAATAAAAGTTTTAAGATCCAATTTATTTACGAATTTTAAATTATCATCTTATATTGGGAATTAATTAAGTATTATCGGTGATATTATAATACTACTGTAGTATTTATGCGTTATATGTCTGAATGTTTCAGCGCGCAATTATGGGGGGACTACATATGTAGCATATATAAATTTTACACATAATTATTATTAGCACGTTGATCCAACTTTGACCGTTATAGGCGTTAATTCTTTCTTGTTAATTATGATGATTTAATAAGTTAATCTTTTTTCTCATTATATTTTTTGCTCCAACTATGTGGGAACAAAGAACTGATATGTAAATTTTGGCGGGAATTGCTGAATAATGACGGACCAATCAAAATTGGCTGTTTCGTGTCGCGACTCTGATTAGAAGGTCACATAGCGAAATCCTACAAGTGAGAGAGAAATATAAACCATTTCACTCTTTCACTCACACGAATATGTGCGTTCGTATGTGTTCGTTTATTTAAGTTGATCTGAGTTGATTCAAGGATGTGTTCGTGGTTTTTGCTCAGTACAAAATAATAACAATAAAAATGGGTGGTTGCACTGCACAATTCTGGAAAAATTATTTAATATCTGTCTTTAGTCAGGTTACGGCTAAACATGTTTTAAATTATCAATTGTTTCCTAAAATTATTAGAAAGTTTGTCGTATTCAAATTAAGAACATTAAGTAAGAAAAATACTAATATTAATAGAAGATATGATAGTAAATCATTGGCAGTACACACCTTTTTTAAATAAATTTTACAAATGTAAGTGTTTTTACTTTTGTCACTCTGATTTCCTAACCTTACTTTAATTTTATTTGAAAAAGATTTAATAGAATTAAGAAAGAGAATATTAAATATAGAAATTATTTAACGTATAAACAAAAAGAAGACAATATAAGAGTCAATGTTTAAAATTTAATAACAAAGTCAAAAATTAAATCATAAATGTTAAAAAACAGCTATTATAACAAAGTTATTTAAAGATAAAGATGTATATAACTGACGATAAAACTTGACATGTTTTTTTTTATTTGACGTATATTATTTATATTGATGTAAAAAGCACGGTTTCAATATTTCTATAATATTTATCATTACATACTATTTACATTCCAAGTAAATGCAGTAATTGAAATTTGAATACGAGCGGGAATCGCTAGGAAATGGCGGACCAATCAAAAGTGGCACCCTGATGGCCAGTCTCTGTTAGAGGGTCTCTACGGCAACATAGTGTTTCGATCGCAAACCACGCCCCATTAGCCATATAGTAGTATTACATATATGCTCTTGATAGACGAGGATACTGCGGAAAGCGCCACGGGAATACTGGGGGTACTAAACCGAATAAAATCAATATGGCGACCTATTCAAATGAGCTGATCTGATCTTAACGTTCCAATCAGTCCCGATATTCACTGCCAGTACTGAAAATCTGTAGTATACATTACGTACGCTACAGATTTTCAATACTGACAGTAAATATCGGAACGAACAGGAGCCTTGTGAGGACGTTCGAATGGGACGGACGTGTTTCATCCTGATTCGAATATTGCATTACTGATTATAATTACAAAATATACACAAATATTAATAAAATATACATACATATTATACATTTTATATTTTAAACTGTAATAAACTCTTGTAATAAATTCTGTTTGTTTTTCAAAGATATGTTAACTATAATTCGACGATACAAATATATACACGTTCTACTATAGCACGAAAATATCTTCATCTAGATCTTTCCTTCTAATTTAACTTTCAGATAATGATTTTCAAAATC